AATAGTAATTAACTTCGACAACATTTTCTCCTCCGTGGCATATTCCTAAACTTTATTTTGTGACGTCTTGAACCTATAGTGAATTTGTCAATAACCAATTAATTTCAAATGCTCATTTATTGAAGAGTTATTTCACCATATCTGTATGCGTTAATCGAGTTATTTTACCTGATATCATTGTCTCAAGTGATTCGCTGTTGGTTGATATCCTCGTGTGGTTGCGCATGATGTGCAGGTTGACAAGGTGCCTACCCGTGCATTACCCACTAGCTCTTCCAAACTTCCTGCACGAGACAGTTGGTCGTTGCTGGAGGGAACGGGGTGCACCGTCCTTGTGGTCGTGCTAGGCTCGAAGAGTGGTTCCATGCACTCAGTTTGGAGCAGTCTATAGTCCAGCCACCGCCTTGGGTGCGATTGATTCCTAAATACAGCGTACTTGTGTTTGCCTATGACGGATTGTGGCCCGGCTGCGTTGATGAAACGTGGCATCCATCCGTATGCCTCCTTATCTTATTCCTTCGGGTTTACACCAGATCTGGGGTGTGTGGATGGAGCTGTGAGTGGTGCAGCGTAAGCCACTCATAGTCCCTCTACATGTGCAGGCGTCCTGTGCCTAGCCACAGTGACTGGCAAATCCGAAACCGGATACCAGTGACTATATATATATATATATATATATATATATATATATATATATATATATATATATATATATATATATATATATATATATATATATATATATATATATATATAATTTCTTAGCGTTGCAGTCCCTTAATATGCGAACGCATGGTTGGAGAAAAATGGTTGGATGATGTAGGTATTTCTTATTGCCTCTTCAATACCATTAACAATTGCCGATATACTTAAATGTGCCAAAAATTTGGTGCTATCGTGCGGAGTCAATTATACTGATAGAGCAGACGACAGTGGACAGCCTATCCACAATTTGTCAAGACGTTTGCAGCTTTTGGCTGCGCATTTTGAAAAGCAATTTAATCGGCTAGAATTGTTCGATTCTTCGCCGGCCAGTGAACGCCCTGTTCCATGGGCTGTCCCTTTGGATCCACCCTCTCGCTCAGAAGTCGAACGTGAAACGGGACCGTTGAATTTGAACAAAACCGCGGGACCAGATGATCTTCCTCCATTCGTCTGCTCTTGTTGATGCTTTACATGAATTACTAGTGAAACTGGACGCATGAGACTGTCCCAACCGACTGGAGCAGCTCCGTTATTGTTCCCATCTTCAAAGGAGGCTTGCGTTCGGAATGCGGCAACCATAGAGGAATCCGTCTGATCTCCATCGCCTCCAAAATCCTTCACAGACTGACTGGCGCTCGTAAAAGCCAGATTCGTGAGGAGCAAGCCGGGTTTCCTCGGGGTCGTGGCTGCATTGACCACATCTTCACCTTGCGTCAGTTGTTGAAGCACCGTCACACATATTGGCGGCCCACTGTAGTTGTGTTCCTCGACATCAAAGGTACCTTCGATTCGGTTGATCGATCTGCCCTTTGAAATTGTCTACTCAGGAACGGTGTGCCCGAGAAATATGTACATATTATCCAAGCATTATACGCGTGTAGCAAGGGCAGAGTGAGAGCTTACGGCAAGCTGTCGCCACCGTTCAATATCTCCAGCGGTGTGAGACAAGGATGCGCGTGGTCACATTTCCTCTTCAACTTCGCCATCCACGAAGTCATGGAGATTGTATTTACAGGACATGACTTGGAAGGTGTGGAGCTACTCCCAGGAGAACGACTTCTTGACTTGGAGTATACATACGACATTGCCTCCATCTGTGACTGCTCCCAGGCATGCCAAGCCGCGCTGGACGGATTAGCACTGGCTGTCAGCCGCTTCGGGCTTTGCTTTGCACCATCGAAATGCAAAGCGTTCCACCAAGATTAGTCTGGACCGCCTCCTTCGCTGACCCTTGGTGGGGATCAGCTAGAAGTCGTTCGGAAATTTAACTACCTGGGAAGTTGTATCAGCGCCCTTGGATCGAAGACGAGATCACGAACCGGATAGCAAAAGCTCGTGGCGCTTTTGCTAACCTTCGCCACCTATGGCGGCGGCGCGACATCACTCTCGCCCTGAAGGGTAGAGTGTACAATGCAGCGGTACATTCGATCTTACTGTACGGTTGCGAAACGTGGCTCCTAAGATCGGCGGATATGAGGAGGCTAGTTACGTTCGACCATCGGTGCGTTCGCAGTTTGGCTCACATCTGGTGGGAACATCGCGTGAGTAACGAGCGGGTTCGACGCCTTGTTTACGGCACAGGAAAAGGAACTGAACCGCTCAGCACCGTCATTTCACGCACCAGGCTCCGATGGATCGGCCACGTGTTACGCAGGCTAGCCCACCGACTCCCTTGACGTGCGTTGTTTGCTCACCGGGGATGTGGATGGAAGAAGAGGGGTGGCCAAGCGATTACTTGGTCCAGAGGAATGAAGGCCCTCACTTCTGTGCTGGTCTCGGTTGGAGCGTCACGGCTCCCTGATTGGGGTCCGAAAGACGGTGAACACGTTTGGCTGGATACACTTGCTGACATGGCAAGGAGCCGACCTCAGTGGCGTTCCTGCTGAGTTTCTATGTTCCTCCCCATCCCTTTTAGCCTCCCCCCTCCACCTACGATCTCATTTCTTAGCGTAAAACATAATAATTTTTTTGGATAGTAGCCGGCTGGTGGCTTACCGGAACGATGCCTATCCGTTTTTTTCCTTTTTCTTTTATGTATTGCGGCACAGTAGTTGAGGTGTTTCCCATCTCTAGCTGACGTGTATAATGATAATGATGATGCATTGGTGTATTGATTCAAGCCCAATGTTAATGATGTATTTGTTTTGTGCAGCACTGGCTCGCAGCCTTCTTGAGGAGACTCAACGGTGTACACGGTCTTAATGACTACCTGAGAAATAAGAGAGAAGAATTGCCCGCATGTCTGGACATCCTCAGCCGTCATAGGTAGGATGGATTACGGCGGTCGTTTACTGAAACTTAACTTGGTGCGGCCAGTACTTTAGCATTTTTACTCCAGCATTACTTCAGCATTTTTAGACCCAAATGATACAGGTTGACACTTATGAGGATCCTGGCTAGTCGTGCCAGACGTATTTTTTTGCCAACTCTATGGCGAACGGCTTTCCTCGAAGAATCATCGAGAACCACCACCACCCGCGAGAACCTGGTGTTCGAGATACAAAAATGTGCATACTGAATCACCTTTCAAAGGTAATTTAACTACGCTAATGACAACTGACCGTATAATCTCGGCTATTCAAGGAAGCTACTATACTGCACAAGTCGTCATCAACCGTTCCTGAAACTTTCCCGCACCTCTAAGGAAGGAAGCGCAGCCTACCGAATTCCACTCACACTGTACATACCAGTTCGTGGGTGACTGGAGTTCTAGTCCCTAGGGGTCAGATGGAATGAGCAAAACAGACGATTGCCCAAAGGATGAAACGACCCTATAGTGTATTTAATGACCTGCGATACCTGTCCGACTGAGTCTAAATCTGTTGAATTTAAACCGATAGTAAACGATTATTTTCAACTTACAGTTGCCCTGGTCGTAGTAGTGAAATTCTAGACATTCACTCTGTACCTCAAGTCTGTTTTGTCACACCCAGTGTTAGTTACTTATATGTATGTCGTTAATTCTTAATGGTACTGACAAGACAATAAAAAATTCAGGCATCTACCAGTTTTGGTCATCTTTCCGTGATTTGTTTGCAGTTTGTAGGATACACAAGGGACCATCATGACCCTGAGATCACCACCTCCCTGAAGGGCAGAGTTTACAATGCAGTCGTACGTTTGATTCTATGCTACGGTTGCCAAACCTGCCCCATTAGATCGGCAGATATAAAGAGGCTGGTTAAGTTCGACCACAGCTCTTTTTGCAGTTTGGCTCATATCTGGTGGGAATACCGTGTTAGCAATGAGCCTGTTCGAAGTGTTGTTTATGGTGCAGGCTCCAATGGCTGGGCCACGTGTTGCTCATGTCAGCCCACCGACTCCCGGAATGTGCATAGTTTGCGATCTGGGAGTGTGGATGGAAGAAGAGGAGTGGCCAAGCGATACCTTAGTGAAGAAGAATGAAGGCCCCAAGTTCGAATTTGGCTTTGGTTGGGGCCTCTAGGCTCACTTGTTGGGGTCCGAAAGACGGTGAATACGTTTGGCTGGATATACTTATTGACATGGCTAGGAACCGACCTCACTGGTGTTTGTATTGTGAGTTCCTTTGTCTCTACCCTCCCGCTTAGCCTCTCTCCAACCCCGATCTCATTTCCTAGCATATTATGAAGTTTATCTAATATAATTTTTTGTGGCATAACGTCGGCCCGTAGATTTCCGGAACAATGCCCATCTGTTACTGGTGGCTCAGCTGGAGTGCTTCGATTTCAGATTTTCTCTTCTTTTCTTAAGTATAGCGGCACAATAGCTGAGGTGGTTTCCACGTTTAGCTAACGCGTATATTGATGCTGATCATCATCATGCCTGTAGACATTCAGGACGAGGATGAAGCAGTGTATTGGGAAAGGAATCACACAGCTGTCTTTTTAACGTGATGATGTTCGTTTGTTTTCGCTTTTAATAGTTTACACGAAACGTAGTATGACCGTTCGACAAACAGCTTTGCAGTGGATTCAACCACCAGCCTAGCCAATCTATGACGATCCGCATGAACTGATCTTTCGAACATGTGCCTTACATGCTGAAGGTGCGGCCTCCACAAGCTTCATGTGCGCTTGATCGTGTAATCTAGAAGGTGAATCATGGTGGCCAATTTCCCATCTATATCTGGGTCTCAAAGGCGGAAGACTGAGAGTTGGCCTTAATAACATTTTTAGACAGTGGGTAGGATCAACGGTGAAGTTCGCAGGAGGTGGTACTGTTTAGATCCTTACTTCTTACCAGACTAGCCTTCAAATGTTGCGGCACGCAGCCAGCTGCTGTCCAATGGCCTATGGGCAAGTGGAAAAACTCACTTGATTCATGGTCAGAATCGGATGATCGTGGGAACACAGTTGAAACAGCGTGAGACCGTTGGTAAAGTGGCAAGCACTGCGTGCCAGAAGAACAGATCCCGCGATTTCTTAAATACATCAGTTCGTTGGTTTAAGCGGCAATTTACCTTGTTTCGGAAAGATATGCTACAATCCGAGTATTAGCAGAGGTTGAATTACGAATCCAGCCGTACCTGTTTCCTTACTGCATAACCGATGTTCAATTTCCTATCTTTAAATATAAGAGGCTCAGCCTAGCAATATTTGGGTGAGAAATGTAATCATCTGCATACCTCATTTTTGATGATTGCCTCAGCCGTCTCCTGATTTTCGAAAGTTACAAACCCATAGCTCCCCTTCGCTAGTCCGGATTTATCACAAATGACTTTAACGTCCTTGATGGTGCCAAAAGTTGAAAAAAAGCTTTTCAGTTCTTCCTCTGTAGTCTGCAAGATGTTGCTGGGGCTCAGTGAAACGCATTACTCACATTTGAGCTGATACCACCGACAAATATACGGTTAGGTATAAGAGTACCGATTTTGGGTATAGAAATTCCTTGTGGAGGAATAGGTACAGTGGTGAGCGAAACTGAACTGATAGATGATGGGAGCTCATGAGAAACAGCGATTGGAGGCGGCGGTACAAATCTAGGCTGCCCATTTTGCAGGTCCGCAGTCATAACAGAAGCCAGAAGTCATGCACTGTGAATGTGAAAACAGTAACCAACAACAAACTGCGAACAAGCCAACCGACACTCGCCTAGTCGCAATGTGACCTAGAAGCGATCGGATTTATTTGAACTTTTACTGTCTCGTCCCGCTCACAAATCGATAGGCTATCCATGTCATGTGATTCTTGGTTAGGACCTCACCGTTTCTGAGCTTCAATGAAATATACCCAAGTATTTCCAGAAGTTAAACAGTGAGTGGGGTAAAAGCAGTCGGGCAGTGGCCTGACCTTTGGGACAGATAAGCAGCGTCTAGGTTAGTCGTCAGAGACTTCATTTCCCTTTATCAGACCATTGATTGCCCACATTAAATTCAATAATCAGGTAAACGCGCTGAAACGATCGCAAATCACTAGGCATTGTCTGTCGACGCAACGAAATAACAACCACTTCTCAACATATTCGGCAGCTACACTCAATCAGATGGTCATCGTACACTCGGACAACGCATCGGATGGTGTTTCGTTCTACAGAGCGTATTTCAATTACAAGGCGATGGGGTTAGCACTTGTTGCCCTTCACTATCGAGCCAGGAGGTGAAGCCACAAAGCCACGAGGATAGAAGCAGTTACTGTGAACGATAGCTACGAAACAGTACAAGTCGTCCTCCGCTTCTATGCGCCTCCAAAATGCATTACATCCTTTAGTTTCCCTGCTTCGCCTCCAGCAAGGGATTTTGTTCTGCGGCAACCGGTCTGTTGTATCATGGATTTTGATGGCTTGCTTTTAGTGAATTTTCCCTCAAAGAAACCAGTTAGCTGACCCTTTGTGGTTGCCGAAGTCTTGGGTCGTTACCAGTATTTTGACCACTGGACGCTAACAAGCTACCGCACGCCACTTGCGTACCGTTATCCATTTGCCAGAGGCGGATTTATTTGGATTGCTCCTTGTGACTTGCTCATTGTGGTTGAACTTGTTAGCAGGTCTTCGGTTTTCCTGGGCTTGACGCCTCCGCTCTATCGCAAAGAACCTGTTGCCTCATCCTTGAAGTTCATGCCGGCTTTGTGACGCCTTTTACGATTTGGTGAGTCCCCTTTAATACATACATGTCACACTTGGTGTTTCCGACTGTTGCTCGCGTCAATTGCACAGTTAATCACCGTAAACCGGTGCACAGCTCTGTGCATATCTCTTACATTCACTTCATCTTCTGACGCTTTTCTGTTGAGAAAGCTGCCGAGTGCTGCCCAAACTCAATGTGTCCTCCTTCCGACGACTCGTTGGTTATATGTGGCAAAGTGGGGTGTCGCAAAGCGGTTACAGACTCATCCGGGGCATGCAATGCAATATCTGTAGCCCTCGGTTCCATGAAGACTGTACTGGCTTGGATCCGATGCAGCATGCCCTTTTGGCTAGTAGCGAGAGAATATTATACAGTTACAACTTGCTCATCAGCTGCTGTTTCTGCTAGTCACTTTCACGCGAATTCATCACACGCCAATTGTTTGTTTGTTAACAATCCTCACTTTACTTTACCCGATTCATGTGCTCAGCAATCTGGCAGCGATTCCGGTTGCACCGCGGACCACGGTGTTCAACCCATGGCTCTCCTTCGTCCCCGATCCCCGTTCCGTCTGGCGTGCTTCAACGTTCGGACACACATGCAGATTGGACAGCAAGCCGGTCTAGCGCGCACCCTAGATTCCCTAGACATTGATGTCTGTTGCCTTTCAGAAACCCGATTGCAAGATCCCAGCACTGTGCTTACACTGACATCCCCCAATGACCACGAAGCCAGATTACACCTACGTCTTTCTGGAGATCCAGAAGCAGCCTCAGCGGGTCTGGCTGGTGTAGGTATAGCACTAAGTGACAAGGCCGAGGCGGCACTACTGGACTGGTTCCCTATTAACAGCCGATTATGTGCAGTTCGGCTTCGGGGTTCATGTAGAATCAACAGGCAACGCGAAGAGAGACACAACTTGTTTGTGATCTCTGTGTACGCTTCAACTGACTGCAGTGGCGACTCGGTCAAGGACGAATTCTATCGGGATCTACAACAACTCTTGACTAATGCTAAAAAGTCGGATGTCGTTATCCTTGCTGGGGATTTTAATGCACGGGTTGGCCGCCTGTTACCATACGAACGCCACCTTGGTGGTCATCACGCGCTCGATGAGAACCGCTCTGATAACGGGGAGAGACTTCTCACATTGTGCGAAGACAACCGTCTGTTTCTTTTGAGCACTAACTTCAGGCGTACGAAGAAGCGTTCCGCAACGTGGCGTCCCCCTTCTTCAACACAACCGTGGTCTCAAATTGATCACATTGCAATTAGCTTCAGATGGCGCGGCAGCCTACTAGACTGCAGGTCCTTTTGGTCCACCTTCGTTGACTCAGATCATGCTCTGGTCTGCGCGAAAATCTGTATGTGTTTTGGAGGTTCCCGAAACACGAAGCACCGCAAGATTGATGTAAACAGATTAACTGATTCCTCTATCCAGACGAGCTATCAGTCTTCATTGGCATATGCACTCAGTTGCAATCCACCGCAAGAAGTGGAACAACACTGGACTTGTATACGGAAAGCGGTGACCATTTCCGGACAGTCATGCTGCGGCCTAACTCGACGCCCATTGAAGGCTTGGATCTCTGCTCGTTCTCTGGAGCTGTTCGAACGCCGCAAAGACATACCCGCGGAATCAGATTGCAACGAGCGGCGCCGTTCTGCCAACCGGCTGCTCAAGCAAAGCCTACGCAAGGATCGCGAGACATGGTGGTCTGAGCGTGTTTTAGAGATGGAGACCGCTGCCCTCTCTGGCAACACTCGCAGGCTTTTCCAACTCATTCGGTCCACTGGCCTCAAGAAACCTGGTGTCAGTGAGGTCATTTGTGAGGTGGATGAGTCTCCGATCACCAACCAACAGAGGCGTATGGACCGTTGGGCCGAGCACTATTCACTCGCAGTTCAACTGGCCTCCACCATCCATCAGTACATGCAGTACATGTTGTTGTCCACCCTGGCTCGTCCCATTGAATCCACCCAGCGAAGCGGAAGTCGGCCTTGAGATTCGACGCTTGAAGCGCTTCAAGGCTGCCGGCTTAGACGGACTTCCTCCGGAGCTATTCAAGTACGGCGGTGTGGCGATCATTAACCAGCTGACCGCGCTGTTCGCAAAAATTTGGCATGAAGAGAAAGTGCCTTCCTCTTGGGGAGAATCAGTCATTATCCCGATTTTCAAGAAAGGCGCTCGCACTTCATGTGCAAATCATCGCGGGATTAGTCTTATTTCAGTTGCCTCTAAACTATTGGCATCCATTCTGCTTCGCAGGCTATCCCCAGTACGTGAATCATACTACGGTGAAGAACAAGCTGGTTTCCGTCCTGGCCGCGAATGCGTGGATCAAATCTTCACGCTCCGCCAGCTCCTCGAACATCGCCACATTTATCACAGGCCCACTATCATAGCATTTCTAGACATACGTACCGCTTTTGACTCCGTTGATCGTCCTGCTTTATGGCGTTGCTTACTAAAGAACGGGGTGCCAGAGAAATATACCGCCATCTTACGAGCACTTTACCTTCATACATGCGGCAGAGTGAGGGTCTGTGGCAAGCTTTCCTCGCAATTCACTGTCAATAGCGGTGTGCGACAGGGCTGCCCTATGTCCCCATTCCTCTTCAACTTCGCAATCGAAGACGTTCTGTCGAATGCTCTAGAAGGTTTCCAACATTTTGGCCTAGAGCTTCTACCGGGTGAGCGCGCGACCGACTTAGATTATGCTGATGATATCGCCTTACTTGGTGACGATCCTCAGAGTATGCAACTCATTCTGGATCGGTTGGCGGTTGAAGCATCTAAGTACGGAATGAGCTTCGCCCCATCGAAGTGTAAAATACTGCTCAAAGATTGGCATTCGCTTGCTCCCGTACTCACTCTCGAAGGTGCACAACTTGAACAGGTAGATAGTTTCGTCTACCTTGGGAGCTGTATTTCTGCTGATGGCACTATCAACAAAGAAGTTTCTCTTCGTATCGCTAAAGCTCGATCGGCATTTGTCAATTTGAGGCACTTGTGGCGTCGTCGCGACGTCTCATTCTCACTAAAGGGCCGAGTTTACAGTGCATCAGTTCGCTCAATTTTGTTGTATGGGTGCGAGTCCTGGCCGCTTCGCGTGGAAGACATGCATCGTCTTTCTGCGTTCGATAACGGTTGCTTAAGGAGGATCGCTCGTGTTCGGTGGCAACATCGAGTTACCAGTAATGACGTTCGACGTCGGATCTTGGGGAATGCGAGTATTCCCTTCAACAAACTGGTTTTGTTGCGCCAGTTGAGATGGCTCGGTCACGTTCTACGCATGGCACCTGAGCGTCTACCGCGTCGCGCTCTATTCGCTCGTCAAGGATCTGGCTGGAGGCGACCGCGTGGTGGTCAGCCTTCCACTTGGCCGCAGCACATGAAATCGCTGACGTCGTGTCTATTCGCTGTAGGATCCGTACGTCTTCCAGGATGGGGACCCAAAGATGAGGAGTGCCAATGGCTTAGGACACTTGAAGACATGGCCCGCAACCGGAATCAGTGGAAGAATTGTGTACATTATTGTATTGATTCACATGTTTAATTCTACAAACATTAAAATGACAAAAAAAGAACAAAAGCGGCGTGTGAAAAACAAACTAAAAATGTTTTGTTCTGTTTTTTATCAAAATGTTCCATTCTTCCTGCGGCATATTAGTTGAAGTGTGTTGCTCACCTTCAACTAGCATGCCACGATGATTATGACGCTATGAATCTTTCTTATCTCCATGGTTTTAGGGTGGCTCTTTGTCTAGCTAATAGACTGTTGAGAATACATACATACATACATTATACAGTTGTGGTAACTGCTGTGTGCGTAGGACTGAGCGTTACACGCCAGCAACTAGCTGTCCGGTGTCTCTAGAAAGCCTGATATCTGATGTGTTCGCTAGACAGGAAAGTTGATTGGGTGGTGAGCTATCTGGACCGCTCAGGTCTTCTTCATCAGGAGACAGTAGAAGATACTTGTAAGTTGCCCGACTCGGCGTCTGCTTGCTCAAAGTCTACTGTCAGTACACCTATTAGTAACAGCACTGTTAGCAACGAACCATCAGATAA